CACTATACCACTGTCCTCTGCCAAATGACACATGGCATTTTTCCTTAGGGTCTCACATGCATATTTCTAAAGTTCTTTTCTCTATTTCATGGTGGTAATATGATAATTAAAAGTTTGATGTCTGTAGAGTGTTCTGAACTATGTGATAAAAGTTTCTGTTGGAAGAGATGCATGAGTTGTCTTTTGATAGTGCACTAATAATATAGCAAAGTTTTATTACCTAGTTTTAGCTCTAGATTTTCTGTGTAAAAGATTTTATATATGGAGGTTAATATGTTAATTTTGCCTTTTTACTTGACGTTTGAGTATTAATGTCACAATAGGAAAATAATTCAGGGACGTGTAATCAGTAACTAAAATATAGCATTTTTGTGTGCTGATTTTGAAGCTACTATTACTTACATGACATACAATAGTCTCCATGAATTATCATCGTTAGAATTTGAGAGTAATAAAGTGTAGACTATACTGTTGGGAAAAATCCCAGAAGTTACTCGCTTTATTCCTTTTTATCAGTAATAGAATGACTTCCACAACAATATAACTATACAATTGTGTGACTTCTGTGTTGAAGTTATTCGTGGGTTCCTTTTTTTCTTTTAGTAAACTAGAACTGTAAAGCAAGCAGGGTCTTAAATGTTCAGATAACTCCCTTGTCAGATCTCTAAATTTAATAATTAAGTCATACCCACTCTTCATTAGAAACTTTTGGTATGGTCGATATATATTTATTATACAAAAATTCTTCCTAGGAAGTTTATAAGTAAAAAAAAAAGTTTATGCTTTTATTATATGTCTTGTTTTAAATTTTTACTATTGAGAATATAGTTAAATTTATGAATAATTAGGCATCAAAGGCAAACAGTTCACATAAAGATTGTATGTAAGTAGCCAAACCAAGTAGTCCTGCTATACCTGTGGCTACTAGGAGAGGAGAGTAGGAGGGAATTAGGTGGAACAGGAAGTTATTTTTGAGACCCTTGTGAACATCCCTAGGTCATACCTTTAGGGATGCATAGGCAGTTGGACTTAACCATTTTCCATTCTGGCAAACAGAGGATCATAAATAAGTTCCTTTCTGTCTTTCTCTTTCCTTGTCTTCATGAAAATGAAATAGCCTGAGAGTATGATTTAAGAGGAAGACCCTTCTGTCCATATTCTTAGTGTTATTGGGAGATATTTCATCAGAGATTTATTTAATTAACAGATACCCCTGAGAAGACTGATGGTGAGTGTGGAAGGAGGTAAAGAATTGAGAACAAGAAGTCATTCATATGTCAGTATAGGTTTATATGATTAGCTTTTCCAAGGGAACTGTATTGTGGGATTAGGGATTTGTACTGAAGCAGAGAAAATATCATACAACCAGGTAGTTCAAGGAAACTGAGAGATCTGGGAGTGGTTCAGCATTGTGCTTTGAGTAAGACCAGGATCCTGGCAGACCAGGGTAGAAGAAGAGCAGGGTCATAGAAAGGTAGGTGACCAAATATCCAAACTAGATACACCTCTGTTGCCTATGTCTCCAAATCTTTCCTCAATTCAAAGGAAAGCTGCCATTAAAGCTGTAGGAGGCCCCACCCACTTCTTACTGCTTTATTCTGCCGTAAGTGGCATTAGAAAACAATGAGGCATGTGTTCTTGGAAAGTGAATTGGCTACAGATGAGTGTAGAAACATGGGCAGTCTTTGNCTAGACTGTAATCTTCTCAATTGCAGGGACTGTTTGATTTGTTCATTTTGTCATTGGAGCTTGATGTACTGGGTTTGATATGTGGGAGATGTTTACTGCTGGCGATCACTATGTGCTTTGTTACGTGATCTCTTGATAGGAGAAAAAGCCTCCTCCTTTTAAGAGAAAACAATTGCCTTAATGAAACAAATTTTCTCTTTCTCATTGAGTAGGCAGTGAAGGGGAGAAGAAAATGATGGCTGGTGATAATTTAGGGGATGAAGAAATAGGGAGAGAAGCTATCTTGTAAGACTCATTACTTGACTTTCAGCCTTTCTCTTTCTCATTCTGACAACACTTTGTTTTCTACCTCTCCCCCATTTCCTGACCTTCTGGAGCCTCTTTTATTTCACTTGGCTGCTAACAGTGCTAACAGGATATAACCAACACCTGGAGTCTGGGGAGGTCTTACCCCCGTTTCTATGGCTGTGAAAGTGGGCACGTAGGTCTGTGACATTAGCAATTATTTCTGAATGCATTTCCCGATAGAATCATTGTAATAATTTGTGGGTTTTTCTGTGTTACCACTAATAGACATAGTGTACATTATGGTTTAGTTCCAGTTTTGTGATCTATCCTGTAAACCTCTTTCCACATTTATAATGTTAAGTACATGTACTGGGATCCAGATTATTAACTTCCAATGTATTTAGAGCATAACAATTTTCTAATTTGGGTATGATTTTGAATTGAGGTAGTACCAGCAGCCTGAATTTACTCTGTAAACTATAGCAGTAGCCTTGTCTTACAGGTGTGTATATACACACACATATATAGACCTACAAATATTATGTTAAAATAATTGAACAATTTTTTGTTAGAGTTTTATTTGATATGGATGACAACTTCAACCAATTATAATTGTTTGAGAAGTATAAATTAATAGATAAGTTAGAATGGCATGGATAAATTTAATTCTCTTTAGATGTAATTTGAGATCATTTCTTCTCTCTTACAAGATACTATCTTAATTCTAGAATTTCTATTATAGCATTTAAGTGATATAACAAATACAAACTTATTCATACACACCTATTATCAATTTTGTGGACCAAATAGCTTTGGATACTGTTAATATTTCTGACACATTATCTGTACAAGAATCCATGTCTAATATGTTTTACTAATAAAAATGATGACATTAATGAAATAATAATTATGCTCTTGGTATATCTGATTGATTGAATGTTACCTTTTCCTTTTTGAAAACAATAAAATTATATATACAAATGTTAAATTTTTTTTTTAATTGTTAAATAGCATACTTATATAAATTTAGTATACTTCACATTTTGTCCTACTCTAGATATTAGAGCATAGTATGTTTTTTATTGATTTCCATTGTTGATTTCATGGTCTTGGTAATAGTGGGTAAAGTTTTTGTGTAAAGTTATTGTCCTGTTATTTGGGTTTGTGACTTGTTAAATAATAGGATCTTGTATTATATTTTAATGAAGAACATATTATTGCCATTATTACAATGTATTCAACCAGGTAAGCTCCTTTATTTTTCTTGCATTTATAAACCTCTATTTTAATGAATTCTTGTTTTGTTTGTTAGACATTTTTGGCTCTCATAAACCAAGTGTTTCCTGCAGAAGAGGACAGTAAAAAAGATGTGGAAGATAACTGTAAGTATCAAATTAAAAAATAGTTCTCATCACAGAAAAGGAAACTATTCCTCCAAAAAATAAATTAGTGGTTATATTACTAGGTACACTATACTGGTTCACAAGAAATGAAGCCTTTTGACATGAAGATTCATATGAATGGAGGAACTCAAAAGCCCTAAATTCATTATTGCCTCACATTTGGACTTTGGTGAAGGAGTCTCTTGAATATTCTTTTAGTTTACTTCAGTTGT